ATTTGCTCTTTCACCTTGTACAATAAAAGATCGTTCACATCATGTTAGTTTGTATGAAGTTGTATTTGCTAAACAATACTGTTATGTTTAGCTAAATGTACTTTTTAATTCAAGCGGTACTAGTTTTCAGTAGAAAAATGAAAACATTTGTAGACACTAAAATTATGAAGTAGGAGAGCCACACATCTGGACATTTATGGCGTTATTGTCTCAGGTAACAGATATAATTTAAAAGCAGGACTGCTTTTTCTAGTTCAGTGGAAAGCAGCAGCATAACTGAAACAAAGCGGTGAGCTGCTTCTAATCTGTTATTGCAATCAGCTACCTCTGTCACATTTTATATGAAGAAGAAAGGGGGGATAAATTGAAAGTAGCACACAAAATATTGTTTTAACATTACTGCTGGCTAGATCTGTAGATGGAAATAATAAATCCTCATACAGCATTAAGGGTAATACTAAAGTATTCCCACTAGCATACGTTATTTATGGCTTTATTTTAAAGTTTTATTTCTTCTATTTATGCGTCTCTCTTTGAAGGGTTTGGGCCTGACATATTGCTCATAGTTAGCTATTCTTATGCTAACAAATCTCAGTTTTGGCTAAAGTCTACAGTAATAGCAGATAAAAACAGTATTATAAAGTCAAATAACGATTACACTGTAACCTGCTAGGAAGATAAGGGAAAATAAATGTTCATAAAATATTGAAATTAAATTATATGAACTAAAAATTTTAAATTGCTCCTAAATAAGCTTACAACTGAAAGGGAGTGGATATGTCTTTACATTTGTCATCCTCAGAGTTCCTTAGGTAATGCAGGAATAGAAATTTTTAGTATTGTAGCTCATATGAAAAAAAAAACCCCAAAACATGTAAGTTTCTCAAATTCAGATTAAAAGTTGAGGTGAAAGCATAAGTATAATCTGAATTAGTTTGGATCATAAGGTACAAGAGTAACATGCAAGTTCAATGCTTTAGTTTCAGTTCCTGAACTTCCCAGTGTGATTGATCCAAATCTCTGTTACTGATTTGTCTTTGAATTGTATCAGATTCGAAATGAAGGAAACAGTGATTTATCTTGCATGGCTGAAAAACCCAAGTTTGTAGCATAATTACTCTCTCCTCCATCTTTTTGTCTTTCTTGCTAACAGAAGCTTAAGAAAAATTTGGAAGGTGACTCTGAATTGTCCTTGGAAGTGACTCGCATTGCTATTTTTACGGAACCATCTTAGTGAACTATGCTCATCACTTTAAGTATAGAAAGGACGTTCACTCAAATGACTGATCTAACAAAAAAATTGTTTCTCCTACTGATCTTGGAGTTGATCTGTGCTTTTTTTTTAAATTCATTTGGTCCATCTGTGCATAGAAGAGTGCGCTTAGCTATTGATATTGTTAGAAAAAGTAGCGTTTAGGTTAAGAACAGATTTATGTTTGTTGCTCTATGAAGGCTTTAGTTTACACAAACTGTCTGATGGGAACATGTGGGTCAAAATCCATATTATTTCTGTCCTTTTACTTACTGTGCTTTCTGTTCCTTTTGGTTTACAGCATCTTGAAAAAACAGGGATTATAGTTCTTTTTGCTATTTTTTCTGTGTTGGGGCCAAGCTCCTGTGACATCTGGGAAGATTTTTGAAACAATTTCAGGAGAGCAGACTTTGGCCTCTTCAAAGATCTGCTTGGAAGAACCCTGTGGGATAGGGCCTTGGAGGGAAGGGGGGCCTAAGAAACCTAGTTAGTATTCAAGGATCATCTCCTCCAAGCTTAAGAGCAGTCCATGCCAATGAATGGGAAGTAAGGCAAAAATGCCAGGAGGCGTGTGTAGATGAACAAGGAGCTCCTAGCAATACTCAAACTCAAAAAGGAAGCATACAGAGGGTGGACTGGTAAACTGGACTTATTACAGAACCATTGAGCAGGCAGGGATGAAGGTAGGAAAGCTCAAGTCTAAATGGAATTTAATCTGGCCAAGGACATGAAGGACAAGAAGAATGGCTTCTATAAGTACATGGGAGACAAAAGGAAGACTGGGGTAACTCATTACTCAAAGAGATGGGGGACTTGATTGCATTGGACATGGAAAAGGCTGAGGTACTGATGGCCACCTCTGCCTCAGACTTCACTAGCACAACCAGCCTCCATGAATGCCAGGTTCTAGAGACCAGGGGGAAGTGTTGGAGCAAGGAAGATGTAGCCTTATTTGAAGAGGATCAGGTCAGGTAATACGTAAGCAAACTCGACATGACTAAGTGCATGGGCCCTGGTGGGTCAGCCCCACCTCAATTCCTGGGAAAGTAATGGAGAAACTAATCCATAAAACCATTTCCAGGCACATTAAGGACAGGAAAATCATCAGGAGCAGTCCGCATGGCTTCACCAAGTGGAAGACTTGCTTGACCAACTTGACTATAGTAAGGCCTTTGACGCTGTCTCCTGTAAGATCCTTACAGAGAAGCCGTTGATATACAGGCTGGACGAGCAGACAGTGAGGTGGATTGAAAAGTGGCTGAATGGCCAGGCCCAAAGGATGGTGATCAGCAGCTCAAAGTCTGGCTGGAAGCCAGTGACTAGCAGTATGCCCCAGGGGTCAATACTGGGTCTGATCCCGTTTAATGTTGTTATTAATGAGGTGGTTGATGGGGTAGAGTGTACCCTCAGCAAATTTGCTGATGACACAAACCTCATAGGAGTGTTCCAGAGTGTCATGCTGCCGTCCAGAGGAACCTCAAAGGTTGGAGAAATGGGCTGTCAGGAACCTCATGAAGTTCAACAAGGGGAAGTGCAAAGTCCTGCACCTGGGGAGGAACAACTCCATACACCACTGTATGCTGGGGGCCACCTGTCTGGACAGGAGCTATGCAGAAAAGATCCTGGGG